CCCCCCGCTCCAGGTCTGCAACAACAACCAGAACTGCCACTGCCTCCGGGGCTGGGCCCCGCCCTTCTGCAACACACCGGGCCTGGGGGGCAGCGTCGACAGCGGGCCCATGCCCCCTGAGAGTGAGTGCTCTGCCTGCTCGGGGCCTCTGCTCACCTTTGTGAGGACGGTTGGGCGCTGTGGGGGCAGGTGGCATGTTGGAGAGAGAAAGTGAGTCGGCTCCATGATCCTGATTTTGTACATGACAGAACAAGAAAAAGAGGGGCCAAGTGGAAGTAGCGGCTGAGGCTAGCGGCCTGGCATGGGGGCTCAGCTCAGTTGCTCTTCCTCTGTCCTTTCTACTGAGAAGGATGAACCCGCTTAGAGAGAGAAAGATTAAGAGAGACTGTAGGTTACTGAATAATCCCATCCTTTTTTGGGGAGTGAGGTGGCGACTAGTCCTTCTCGGCCGCTTAAAAATGATCATGAACCTGGGGGCAAATCAGATTCTCTTGGATGAACAAAGCTTAAAATGGGGAACAAGACACTCAAAAACTTCTACAGTTTTTAGTGGAAATCTCAGGGATTCTAGCCCTTTGGTTTCCAAGCTTTTTAAAAAAAGTAGTAGCAAAGTATTTTTTTTTTGAGCAAAAGCTCTCAAGGAAGAAACCCCGATATATAAAACTGTGTCACTGGAATATATACATTTTGTACATTAGATTTAAAATTTGTGACAATGTTGAGGCAGCTTTGATGAAACCAAATGTGAAATTCTGGATTATGCATGAGAGTTCTAGTCTTAGTCCAAGTCCCTCAGTGTTTTGTGTTGGTTTCTTTGTGTCTAGGAAAACCATGATTTAGGCTGAAAAGTAGTGGTAAACAATAATAGAGCTGGAACTCCTTGCCTTGAAAGGGACTCTCTTCAATTAAACAGAAGTGGCTGGAGAAGCTTTATTATGAGGCCTGTGCAAAGCAAATTGACCTGGCTATTTAAGCTAATGTTAGTGGTTTCCCAGTGGTACATAATATATGTTTTTATTATAATTTTTAAGTTAAAATACGTAATACAAATTAAATGCAAATCAAATATCTGAAGAAGAATGAAGAATACGTTGTTTGAAATCTACAGCCCAAACAGCTTCTAAATCTCTTACTTGGGTTCTATTTCTGGAAGGTGTTGGTGCTGTGGTAGCTGGAGTGTTCACAGCCATCTTTGTGCTGCTGCTCCTTGTGCTGATGTACTACTGCTGTAGACAGAACAACAAACTGGGCCAACTCAAGCCTTTATCCCTCCCTTCCAAGTTGAGGCAACCGTTCAGGTATGACGGGGCACCATGAAGAACTTGGGGTCCACTTACAGAGTATAAAACTTTCTGTAAGCAATACGTGGTAAAAAAAGTTGTTGGTGGTGGTGGGTCTAATTCAGGGAAGGCAAATGCAAGGTACACGCTGCCCTCCCCCCTTCTGCTATGCTCCACGACCATGGCAGACATTACTAGATGATTTTATTATAAATATGCTCTACTGAGCCTAGTCATCACTTTAGAATCCTTCTCACCCGAATGCTCCCAACCATTTAAGTTGGAATATGAAATGAAATTGATGTGCCATCCTTTATCTAATTGGTTTGTTCCCCATTTTAAAGGACAGGAAACTGAGGCAACAGAGAAGGACTGAGTAGCCCAAGTCAGTCACAGGGGTGGCTGGACATCAACTCAAGACCAAGACTAACTTTTTTTTATGCAATTCATTTCTTTGGATATTGAAGATGTGTCATCTCTGAGTCATCTATTAAATTACACATGTTCTGGAGGGGATTTGAAATCCCGAGTCTTTCTGGATCTATACCTGAGGGTGATTGGTTGATGGCTGGTGACATCCTTGTGTCTCCTTGGGGAGAAATTTCTTAAAAGGGCAAAGTGAAGGGACTGAGGAAGACTCTGCTTTGTAAAGGCCAACTGTTTCCTTGAGAGTTCTCCATTGGCCACACAATGTCTCCATATCTAGGGATCTGGGGTTCAGGAGCACCAATCCTGCTTCCTCCAGAGCAGAGCTGGGAAAGATTTAGCTGCTTGCTGGCCGTGCTTGGGTGAGAGGGAACTCAGACACTGACCCTTCATGAACAACCCCCTTCCTTCTCTTCCCCCATTCCTTGTTCCTAGTTGCCCCTTCATGGTGTCTCAGAACAGTGGAACTGGCCATGCCAACCCAACATTCAAGTTACAGACGCCTCAGGGCAAGCGAAAGGTAAGAGTTTGCACCATTGAACTTTGCTGCTTTTCCTTTATCCCTCGGGAGCCTTCTGGGTTTTCTTAAGAGCCTCTGTGGCCCTTGGGATTGGTAATAAAAGCCACTTTCTTGGCTTGAGAGACGTTCAGTTGGTTCTGACATTCCCTAATGACTGTAAAGGTTGCATCTGACCTCTGGGATCCTAGGGATTTAGCAGGCCAGCTTGTTCTCCTCTCTGCCTCCGGTCATCTCGGTGAGACACACAAGGGCCCCCCTGAGTTTTTAAGTGCATTGAGGGTTCCTATGTCTCAGTCATTCCTTGTCTTATGCATACAGGTGACCAACACCCCTGAAACCCTCCGGAAGCCCTCCCAACCTCCTCCCCGGCCCCCTCCGGACTATCTGCATGGGAGGTCCCTACCTACACCATTGCCAGCGCACCTCAGCGGGGCTGCTAGGAACTCTCCAGGGGCCGGGTCCCAAGTAGAGAGAAAGGAGTCATGCAGGAGGCCTCCTCCAAGCCGGCCAGTGCCCCCTGCACCAAATTGCATCCTCACCCAGGTAAGTGGACTCTGAGAAACCCTAGGTCAATGGCATTGCTTTTAAGGCCACTGACAATAGAGAATGACAGAAGCTAGGAAGATGGAACTTGCTGAGTCATGAGCTGACGGCCTTTCCTGCATTCTGGTAAATATGGGGGGCACGCAGAGGGTGAGGGCGATGAACACGGGGAGATACACTCCCCAGGCAGCCCCTAAATCACAGAGGACTGCCTCCCTGCTTGACCTATTTTAGGACAAGCCACCACTCACCTTCTACCCCAAATTAACTGCTTTCAGTTCTTCATGCTCTTTTTCTTTTCTGAGTCTTTGCAAATGCTGTTTCTTCTGTCTGATACACTCTTCCCTTTGCATCCTTAGATCTCCTCTTAGATGCCACTTCCCCCAAGAAGCCTTCTCTGACCGCTAAGCCTGAGTTTGGTGCCCGTGTACTTCCCTCATCATAGTACTTATCCCAGCAAATTGTGCCTATCAATGTCTTCAACTAGTCGGGAAGTCTTACTGAGGGTTGTACTGTGATGCCTTGGTCATTGGATGGGTAGGGGCCTCTGGGAGATGTGAGTGGGGTCTGGCTGTACACGCCCACCACTGGTGTTCATTGGAAGCAGAGCTGCACTGCTCAACAGCCTGTTCACCTGGCGTGTCTGTACTCGGACAGCTCCAACTGTACCTTCTGGCAGAAGTTCCCACATCACAGACACAGACGTTTCCAGAGTGGTGGCTGGGTGTGGTACCTTCCAGAGCCAGCCTGTGTATTTTGGGTGTGACCCTTCAAATGGGACAGGAGACTTGCTCATTTTCCTGCTGTGACTGCTTTTCTTGGGCATGGTCCAGAGGGCTCCACTGGGGCCCAGGCTGACCCTAAGACTGTGGGGTTGGCACCAGGTCTGGAAGGTCCCTGGGCGTGGAGCAGTGTCACAGTTTGGCAGAGCTGAGAGCATCAGGTTTGGTTTTCTGATGATGTGAAGCTGCCACTCTCCCATTTTTCTCAACTAGGGCAGGAGTGAGATAGAAAAATCCATGCAGAAAGGGAAGGGAAAGACTGACAGGGAGGGAGAAAGGGAAAAGAGCAAGAGGAGTGGAGAGAAGAGAAGAGGAAATGGAGAGTGCATTAGGCTGCTCAGACGGCCATAGCAAAGTACAGATCTTGACTTATGTTGGGGTTATGTCCTGATAAACCCATCATGAATTGAAAATATCATAAATCGAAAATACATTTAAAACACCTAACCTACCGAACATCATAGCTTAGCCTAGCCTATCTTAAATGTGCTCAGAACACTTACATTAGCCCACAGTTGGGCAAAATCATCTCACACAAAGCCTATTTTATAATAAAGTGTTGACTATCTCATGTAATTTATTGAATACAGTACTGAAAGTGAAAAACAGAATGGTTGTATGGGTACAGAGTGGCTGTAAGTGTATTGGTTGTTTACCCTCGTGATCGCATGGCTGACTGGGAGCTGCAGCTCACTGCCGCTGCCCAGCATCACGAGAGAGGATCCTATTGCATGTCACCAGCCCAGGAAAAGATCAAAATTCAAAATTTGAAGTATGATTTCTACTGAATGCTTATTGCATTACTGATTGGAGGAGGATGAGACTGGGTGCACGGGCGTGCTAGTTAGAAGGTTTAAACGGTGTCCAGAGGAGAGCTGATGGTAGCTTGGAGCAGGGGGTGGCAGGGCTGATGGGGCGAAGCTGATGAGAGCTGTGCAGAAGAGAAAATAGACAGGACTTGGGGAACGGTCGTGGATGGGGATTGGCAGGGGATGACCCCCCACCCCCACCCCCTGGTGTCTGGTTTGTGCAGCCTGATTGATGACGGTGCTGCCCCCTGAGGAAGGAGCAGTGGGCCAGAGGGGTTCAGGGACTGTTTCTGCCTCCGGAAAACAGTGCTGGGTGAGGCCCCTGGTAGAGCAGAGCTGGGTCATAGCAGGCGTGGCCTGTGGCAGGACACTGCTCTGGGAGGCCCCGTGTTACCGTGCTGATAAGGCTCCTGTCCGGATGCACTGCCCCCTCCAGTAGCTCATTTTGCACAGCAAGCAGCCGAGGGAGCACATCTCCCAGCTGCAACCTGACATCTGCACCCAGCTGTTGCTTCCCCCAGAAGTCTCTGTCTGGCCTCCAGCAGCCACCACGATTTGGCCATTTGGCAGTTGGCTGGGCTGGAAGGGTGGGGGATCTCCATCCTTTGGGGAGGGGATGGAGCTGGAGAATGTGGCTTTTGGTCACAGGAATCTGCTGCTCTTCTGTTCTCTGAGCTTTAGTTTCTGCTGTCAGTTTTCTGATGGCTGAGAAGCTTCTTGCGGAAAATCCCAGTTCTTTGATTTGCTCCCGCCGTCTCCGCATGCTTGCCTTTTGGTCGTTTTTGTGCTTGTTAGTGACCCCCTCAAGATGGGGAACAATCCAGGACAGCAGGCAGAGCGCCCACCTGTGTACCTGGCCACTCTCACACCCCCCCAGCTTGGGCATCTGTGAGTGGTGGTGCAGTCCATTCTCTGCCCCTTAAATATTTTTTTCAATCACAGAAGAAATACATAGTTATTTAATAATTTTTGACTAACACAGAAATTTGTTTATTCAACTAATTTGTGTTGAGTGCTTACTGTATACCAGGCACTGTTCTGGAAGCTTGAGCTGTATCAGTGAATCAAACAGACAAGGACGCCAGCCCCTGCGTCTGGTCTAGTGCGGGATGGAGAGGCAGAAAATAAAATAAGTATATTGTATAACGTGTGGGAAGGGGATAAGTGAGTTATTAAAAAAAGAAGTAGATTGGGATACAGGGATCTGGGAATGCTGAGTGCCAGGGTGGGGGGGTGTTGTAATTTAAATACGGAGGTCAGGGAAGGTCTTATTGAGAAGATGACAAGACATAAAGGGAATATAAAAGCCCAAAGGAAAGAATCCCTATTGATTGTGCCGCCCATAGACAACCAATGTGAAAAAATGTGTTTTCTTCTTTTTTTAATGTGGTTTTATTTTTTTTAATGTTTTTTAATTTTATTTGCACAGGTAATACACATATATACTCTTGTTAAAAAATTTGAATGTTCACCTGGGTGGCGCCGCCTCCCATGCCCCATCTAACGTCTGTTATCAATTTGGTCTGTATCCTTCCCGACTTTCTTCTGTACGTTTATATTTACGTTGGAGGGGGTGGGGGGGGCGTGGTGATTTAATTTACGTAAACGATCCTCTACAATTTGTACTTCAGCTCTCACTGAGGCTTGCTCATCTTTCCACATCAGCACATATCGACCTACTTCATTCTTTTTAAGTGCTGCATCCTATTTCACTGCATGATTTTAGTAATTTTTCTATTGATGGAAATTTTGGTTATTTATAGTTTCTTTTGCTGTCACAAAGAGTGCTACAAGGAACATCCTCGCAATTTCATTTTTGTGCCCCTGTGCGAATAGTTCTCTAACATGGGTAATGGGAAGTGGAATTGTTAGATCAGAGAATGATTGTTTCTAGTTTTGATAGATACTGCCAACGCGCTCTCCAAAAAAGCTTTCTCTTGAGCATGTAAACACACACACAATTTCTTTTTAAATGGCACCCTATAGTCAATCCCTTTTCTCATCTGATTTTGACCTGTAATATATTGGGAATATTTTCTTTTGAACAGGCCCCTCTGGCCTTTGAGTGAGGCTTGTGGCTTTCTCCCCAGGATTTCTCCAGGCCTCGGCCACCCCAGAAGGCGCTCCCAGCTAACCCAGTGCCAGGTCGCAAGAGCCTCCCCAGGCCAGGCGGCACCTCCATACTGCGGCCCCCTGCCACTGACCCTCAGCAGTCCCGGCCTCTGGTAGCACCTGTTCCAAAGGTGAGTCTGTGGAAGCCCTCGAGGTAAAAGTTGGGGCCAGAGAGCTCCAGGGGGTCAAGAATGTGGTTGAGAAAACAAACCAATTCAGGCTTCTCCTTCTAGTTAGGGCCAGACTTCCAGAACAAAAGCCAAGGACAAAAGCTTAGTGTTTCTTGGTTCCTGTCTGACTGTCTTAAATTGGTAATAGGGTTTTGGTTTCATGTGAAAGGTGATGCTTAGGAGCCTGAGCTACGGTGGCTTTAAACCTGCATCTCCAACTGACCACAGCTGAGTGGCTCTGAGCAAGTCATTTTCTTGAGTCTCAGTTTCCTTATCTGTAAAGAAGCAATAAGAAGCAGCAATAGCCAGCCCCATCAGGTTGCTGTGAAGGTCAAGGCAATTTTATATAAACTGCTGGCCTGTGGTGGGCTACACCCAAATGGCCCCTCTTATTACCTCTTCGGTGGGGCTGACATATTCTCAGGCTGCCAGTCCTGGGAGTCGGGGCAGAGGGGAGGAGGTGAGGAAGCTTGGCTACTGCCCTGTGTTCCCACAAGGCCCTGGGAAGTCTGTGGACTAAGCTTCGGCTTTAGAGGGGTGAATGGGGGAGGCTCATCATCTCGGAGTAGCGGCACCGTCATGCCTCTCACTCTGGGGTTGATGATCTGGACAAGCAGACACGTTGACAGACTTCCATGGGAAACCGTTCTCAGCTGATGGTCTATCCTTCCAACCTGTCAAAAGCAAGAGGACAGCTCCCCATTGATCCTACTGATCAACATTTAGCTGATGTCTCTCTCTCTCCCTTCTCTTTCTTTCTATAGTTTCCTGAATACAGATCACAGAGGTCTGAGAGGATGACTAGCTCGAAAATCTAGACCTGTCTGAAAGGGCTTCTCCCTTTCCTTGAGGACGCTGAGTACCACAGAAGACCTGTGGCCACAGAATCTAGAAGCAGCATGTCTGGCCACCTCCGAGCTCCTCCTTCCCTCCTCCTGGAACCACTGCATCTCCAAAAATCTCCTTCTTGACTCAGTGCCCCCTCAGCCTCCTCAGAGGCCCAGGGGGACTGCTGTCCAATGGCATCTGAGTGTTGTTTTGTGCAATAGACAGCCCCAGGTAGGGAGGGGAGAGCATGGAGGAGGATGAATGGCTGCTTCTCCTCCAACCTCCCTTCAGCTGGCCCCTCCCTTCGGAGGTGCCAATGGAGATGGTCCAGGTTGTCTGAGCTGGCGAGCCCAGCTAGGAAAAGTCCCTTTTAGCCTTTCAGGCCAGGACTTAGCTTGGAGAAGCCATCTATCCACATCCTATGGCAGAGGGTACGCATGAGAGCTTTCCATTGCTACTGTCATTCTCGAAGGTCCCAGGCTAGACAGAGGCTGGGCACTTACCCATCCCTTTTAGCTCTGAGAGTGAGAGGGGTCAAACCAGCCACTGTTATGGCCCTGCCTGGGGCTTGGGTGAGGTGACAGCTCCTGGCTCTGTGGCTACACGTGAACAAATCAGGTCCCCTCCCCACCCCGCCAAACCCCTGCATCCCCTTATTCACACGGGTCACTCTGACTCAGACAGGTACTATTTGTAGGCAGTGTAGACAGCAGGGGGAGCACCAGGCTTGGGCCTCCTCTGAGCCGAAAGGCCAAAGGTGCCACTCTCCACTCCCATCATTCTTGGTTGCCTTCTGTCTTCTCTTCTGCACTTTCCAAGTGCCCTGCGCTTTTGAGTTCTCCTTCACTGCTCGGATCCACCTAATGTGTGATGCTCTGAGAGCGGACCTTCCCCTGATTTCCTGGGGACCTGGTGCTTGTGACCCACAAGTCAGAGTCCTGCCTCGAGGGTTGGCCACTGCATTTCCTGCTGTGGTTCTCAAGAGTGTTGACCGGAGTAGACTCGGGCTGTGGTTGTGTGGGGTGTAGCTTTATTTTCCATTGTGTTTGTGACCTCAGCAGGGTGAGAGTCTTCTCCCCTCCTCCCTGACCTAAGTCTGAGTAAGGTCCCCAGGGACGGCTGCAGGTGCAGTGAAGGGAGCAGATGCCCCAGCCCGTCTCTAGGTCTGGTCAGTGACTTGAGGCAGGACCATTGCCCTCTGAGCAGAGAGCAGACCTGTCTCTAGAGATCTCTGGAGAGGCAGCAATCCACAGCCCTGAAGAAACAGTCTGAGCTGGGGCCAACCAGGCTTTTTATCATCCACTTCCTGAAGTCCTCTCCTCTGGCCACGGCCCTCCACTGACCCTCACTGAAAGAGAACTTGGAGCGGGCGGGGAACACCATCCCATGGGTCCTGTCCTCCCAGAGCAGGGAAGGAGCCTGTGTGTTGCTCTGCTAGATAGGACGATTTTCACTGAGTCACCGGAGATGTTCTCTGGGACTGTCTCCTGCTCCCAGAAGGGTGCTGGGCGGCTGGGCCCCCCTCCTGCATGAGCAGTGGTTTGCTCTTGAAACCTCAGCGCAAGGAAGAGGCTTGAGCTTTTCACTCCCCAGCCACCCCCCAGGACACCCTTACAGTTCTCTGCACGTAATAGGTGCTCAATAGATGTTCTGGGGTTTGTAGACAAGTGGGAGATTTGGGCTGTGCACCTAGGTACATACATGGGTGCATTTAGAAAGATCTCAGGAAAATGAGGTTCTCTTCCCTCAGGTAGTCGTGATATTCGTGCCCCTGTCTCCCTGACGCGGCCCCGATTGCTCCCCATAGCCAGTCTCCACCTTTGCCGCCTGATTAAGTCAGGGGCAGCATCCCATTTAAGCGTGCTACTCCAGATGCCCGAGGCCTCAAGGCCGGGTCCCAGAAAAGTAGAGGTGAAAATAACCCCATAAAAAAAAAAATCACCCTTAAACCCCACCCCTGCCTCACAGCGTTCCTGTGGCTTCTCCAGCTTTTCTCCCTCATGTCAGGAGGTGGAAGGCTCTGAAGTGAAAAGGCCACAGCCGTTGTGGCTGCATGAGCCTCTTGAACCTGAAATTCCCCCTCCACGGAACCACAGAGAGACCTGGGTTGTTACTTGCTTGTTCTTCTGTCTTTGTTTTCGTTTTCCATTATTTTAATACCACCTCCATCCCATAAAATTGTACTGTGAACTGGAAGATGGTCGAATTTTAAAAATTTGATAGAGACTTTTCGCAGCCGGTTCTATTTGCTGTTTCACTCCTGCTTCTGTTCGGGGAGCCAGAAGTTGCCATTTTGGCAGGCCCAGGAGCAAGACCGGCCACGACAGGCCCTCTTCCCCTCCCGTGCCCATGTGCTGCTTTGAGGTGACAGATAAAAACAGAGACAGACTTAAGGAAGGAGGGACTTTATTTGAAAGGATTATTGCAAGACCAGGAAAGGGAATATTACAATAGGAGCTGGGGGGGGGGGCATTGCAATAGAGAGAATGCTTAGGCGAGCTGCTGCAAGGTCTCTGAGCATCTCAAAGCTCAGAAAAAAGAGGCCTCTTCTTTTACAGGAAGGAGTGAACTCGGCTAGAAGGAACCACATTCAGGGAAGGGAATATCTTTGTGCTCAGCCTTTCTGGGGAGGGGCTGTATGCTGGCTCAGACCCCGATGGGTCCAAGTTCAGAGTCTGGTGGGGAGGAGAGAAGCTTATTAACTACAGCTTGGTGAGTTAACCAGCCCTTTGTTCAGCTAGAGATGTATGTAAATCTTTTTAAAACCTAACTTAGCCTCCTGCCAGTTTTACAACCCTGGAAATGTTTTTCTTAAGAGCCTCGGAGCCATCTCTGAAATGTAAACCTCAAAAGACCTCAAGGGAGATGGCGCCCCTGTCTCCCTGTCTCAGTGGGAGTTTTAGCCCAGGCACCTTCCCCAAGGGTGACTGCCTGCTTGCCGTAGGTTCTTTTTAGTCCTGTTTACTTCTCCCTATAAAGGAAAAGCCCTTCTGCCCCAGCTTTGAGATGCTTGCAGATCTTACCGTCTCTCATTACAGATCTTATGGTATTGCAATAGTCCTTTCCTTCATCTTTTGCAAGAATCCTTTTGAACAAAGCCTCCCCTTAGCTATGTCCAAATTTGTTCTTATTTGGCAGAGGGTATGGAAGACTTGCATATTTTAAATTGGGGACCAGTTCTAAAGTCAGTGATTGCGTTAAATGTGTGTATAACAGCTCTGCTGGACACCAAGAAAGCCACGAGAATGCCAACTGGAATGGCGCCCCGTCCCTAGGGAAGCTCGCTAAGGAGAGGTTCCGCAGAATCCAAGCCAAGTGCCCCCAAAGTCACCCTTCCGCGCATCTTCTCATACCATCCACTGTGTGTACGTATGTGTCTGGGATCCAGGGCAATGTGAATTTTCTTTTTATTTGGGAGATTGTTCATGGAAAACAGATCCTCTTCTCTCTCGTCCACCTATTAATTGTTTACAATATTTGTACATCTATGCAAAATACTTGAATGGGCCATGGTGCCTTTTTTCCTTGTTTATATTTAATTAAAATAAATTGTCATTTGAAACGTTGCCTGGTTTGGCAATTCTTTTTTGTTTGTTTATTTTAATATCCCACTGCTCAGACTGGATAAGATCCATCACATGAAGATTCCTCAGAAGAGTTCCCACAGAGACCATCAGTCTAGCCTGTCAGGCCATAATGGAAGACCCTGAACTATTAGAAAAGCCCTGGGTTTTCCCATGACCAGTGGAGAGAGCTCTTTGTCTTTGCACCTGGACACAGGCTGGTCTAGTTTAATTAGGTCTCCGGTCACTAAAGGCGTGAATGATCAGGGATTCTCTTGATACGTTTCTTCTCATCCTACACTACCGTGTTTAGGAGACAGCTGAGACCCTCTGGGGGCCTCTTCATCTTGTTGCTGGGGATCTTGTACTTCAAAGAGTGGAGAGACTTGCCCAAGGTCTGTTGGGCTGGATGGGCAGGTGCAGAGCCAAGGCTGGGGTTGGGTGTGCTTTTGGACTCCAGAGCGCCGTGTGACAACACAGCTCGCATCCTTTAGTGCTTCCCAGTCCGCAAAGGGATCCCACCCTCATTGTCTCATTTGATTCCCACCTCAATTTTGAGGTTCTCCAAGACAGATGGAATCATAATCGTGATAGGAGGTAACGTTTACTGAGTACTTAACACATGCCAGGCATTGCATGCTTCTTTATCTCATCTAATCTTCACAAAGCCCTGGGCGGGGGCCTTTGATAGCTGCTGATACTTTCCTAACTTCTCGCTGTTCTAAGATTGCCTAAGGACATCAAAGGCATCGAAACACAAAGGCTTTGACTACTAAAATGCCTGCTCATGAAATTAGCCCCCACCCAAACACTCCTGCCTGCCTAACATCACCATCTAAACCAGCCACTGTAGCCACTCTGTCGGCCAGTCTCTGGGTTGATAGTCATAGACTGGTCAGCAGCATAAGACACAGCCTGGCTGGACAGACCTGGGTTCAAATCCCGGCTCTGCTACTTACTAGATGTGTGAGAGTGGATAAATTCCAGAACTCTAAGTCTCTTCTTGGTATACAGTGGGAATAATACCTACCTCAAAAGTGTCATGATCACCAGTGAAGTGCCCCATGTGAAAGCAGCCCACCATGCCCGGCACAGGCTGCGTGCTCAGAAACTGCTGACCACATCTGTTTTGGAGTTGCTCTGCTTTACATGCTGGGGTTCTGTTAAGAATGCTCTGGGTTGGGAGCTGGCCCCCAAGAGTCTGGGCAAAGAAGGACTATTCGGAACGGTATTGTTCCTTCTTTCAATACATGTTTTTATGAGTGCCAACTATGTGCTAGGCACTGAGGATAAGCAGTAAATAAAGACCCTCTCTCATGGGGTTTACGTCCAGACAGGGGAGACAGCACAGATCACAAGAAGAAACAAACAGAGGAAGATCGGACTATGCAATGGGGGATGAATTTAGTCTTTTGGAGAGACACACTGCTCTTAAGACTATGGGCTCAGAGCCAGATATCAACTTCGACTCTTCCTGGCTGTGTGACCTTGAGCGATTACTTAACCTCTCTGAGACTTTTTTCGTAGATACAATGGGGATAAAGATATATCTACCTTGGGGATTTGTGAGGACTTAAAAGACTTCACGTGAAGCTCTTGGCACTGTGCATGGCTCCTAGTCAGGGCTCAGGCGTTAATAAGGGAAGAGTGTCTTCAACTGACTTGATTCCCAAAACTGCCTTTCCCACTCTAGTGAGGGCGTGGCTGTGGAAGGCACTGCAGGGACTTCCTTGGCAGCCACAACCCTCCAGAGATTAGGGACTGGTCCCCCAGCGCTAGAGGAACCAGTTAATTGCTCCGTGTCCAAGGAAGGCCAAGACGCAAGTACCAAGTAAACACACTCAGAGGTCTTTATTCCTGACCCTGCAGACCACACTCTCAGGGACCTCAGATTATGGCCATTCTCAAGATCCACCGTGTTGCATTGATTTTAGTAAGAGACAGAAATCCACATTCATTAAAAACTGGAGATTTGAGGCTGGAGGTGCAGGAAGCCAGTCTGTTGGTCAGCCGAACCTTTTGGAGCTCCAAGGCCAGCAAGAGTTTGGCCTGGGCTTGCCTGTTCTTAGGGCCTGGGACGTAAATTCAGGGCAGGGGTATGGAGTTAGACAGGGGAGGCTCTGTACCAGTTTGGAGACTGAGGATCGAGTCTTCCCTCTTCACAAATATACTGGCTCCCTTACTTCCATTTCAATGGTCCTTGTACCATCTCCCACACTCTTGCAGTTAGAAAGAAGACAGGAAGGGAAGGAATAGCAATTACACCTCTCCAACTGCTCTTGTTTTTTGAATGCCTCTGGCCAAATGTGAGGAGACCAAAGGCAGTCCCCAAAGCAAGTGGTGTTGGAGCAGTCACGACACGCTGCTTCCCAGTGTGGGCAGCTCATCAGTGGAGTGGGGGACTTGGTGGCAATCTGGTCCACAGCCAGAATGCACTCCATGGCAAGCCTCTACCCCTACTTGGTCACTGAAGTTCAAAGCTGATGCCACTGGCCAAGCCTCTAAGGCTGCAGCCAGAAACTACCCAGAGCCCTTTCCACCTGGGTTCTTGGTAGGGCACCAGAGTAAACACAAAAGTTAGCCCCTGGTTTCCAGAGAGCTTGTGGCTGCTTTCTGCCAAGTCCTGACTTTGCTCCTCACTCTTCTCCCCATGTCCCCAAATCATATTTTGGTTTACTCCTTGAGGAAAAGGAAAGTGCATTCTGCCAAATTCTAGCTCAACAGCCAAGCTACTTTTAAGAGCAGTGCAACTGCTGTTCTCTTTCCAGAAGGAGGCAAAATGAAACACTGAGGTTGGCCAACAGGGCTTGGCTGTAAAGCATCTTGTTTCGTCGTTTTGTTTTGAGTTCTAAGACAACTGCCTGAATGTCTCAGTGACTGCTCCTTAGGATGTATATAGAGAGGTAAGGGATGGGGAGGGAGTGGAGCTGATGGAAACAAAGATGCTGACCTCCAGGGTGCAGTGCTCAGGGAATGGGGCCAGCGGAAATGCTTCTCAGACAGCAGGTGGCTTTCACAGTAAGAAGGTCAGCTGAGGTCTTGCTTTTGTCTCCAAAGAAGAAGTGGTAAAAGCAGGAAGACATTTTGCAGTAGTTGTGTCTCTGTCAGCTCTGGATGAGGAGGCATGGCGAATTGCTCTCTGGGCCTCTGGGAGCCAGCTGCACTTCATCCCTGGGCTAAGGAATGGCGATTCAGTCTCAGGAGAACTAGTGCTAAGGATTTCCTGATGACCAGCATCTCAGGAAAGTTCTTGGCCTGGCTACATTCAACGGGTCAAATGCTATCTTCTTTCCAACAACGTAGAGACAGCACCGAGGAAACAAGTGAGAAGGGAGGTCCAGGGGACCTGCTGGCACCAAATAAAGTAGGGTATTTGGTTACTGAGGCTGTGTTTCCAGGAAGTTCTGCCGCCACCCCTCACTGGGTAGAGATTTTTCTCCTGGAAACCGTGATGAGGTATAAATGAACATCTCAGAAAAGAGAGCCCATTGGTAACAGTTGTGCTGAAAATAACCAGGTGGCTCTGAAACTGAGAAGTCAGGCTGTACCATAGGGCTCATCCTCTCACTCATGTATTCCAAGCTTTAGGAATGGATTATAAATACTTTGGGCTTCTCTGCTGGTGATGGGGTACTGGCGAGCTCTATATTGTCCACAAGGACATTCTTGTCTTCTAGTCTAATGACAGTGGGCTCTGGGGCGGGAGGTGGGGTTGGGTTTTTGTGCATATGGGGCAAGCTGGTCTCGCTGATGTCCAGGTCTTTGAAAGCATGAAGCATGAACACACCCAGGATGATGGTGATAAAGCCAGAGAGGGTACCCACAATGTCCACGGCAGACATGCTGTACCACTCCTTAAAGAGGATAATGGAGGAGGTAACCACGGTCGTGGTGAAGAACACGTAGTAGATGGGGAACACCAGAGAGGTATTAAAAATGTCCAGCGCCCTGTTGAGGAAGTTGACCTGAGTGCTGAGTGAAAGTGCCAGGATGAGGGACAGGATGTAGGGGAGGGGGTGCCGCACAACTGGCAACCCCTGGAAGAAGTTCTTAATGGTGATGCCCAGACCCTTGACGGCAGACACAGAGAAGGCCCCGATCACAGAGCAGATGATGATGTAAACCAGGATATTCCTTTGCCCGTAACGTGGGGCGATGACGAAGATGAGGATGAGGCAGAACACCAGCAGAAGCACAGCAAACACGATGTACCCTTCAAGAGGGGAGGGAGAGAGAGAACCTGAGCTGTAGAGGATGCAATTATCATCTAGAGCACCGCCCCCCGCCCCATGGCAATGGGATGTAGCGTGAAGGACTTGGGCTCTGGAGTCAGACAAACAGGAGTTCCAGTCTCAGCTGCACAACTTTTTAATAACTTGGGCAAGTTATTAATTAAACCCCCAAGACTTCGGTTTCCTCATTTGTAAAACAGGGCTAAGAACAGGACCTTCCTCATAGGGCTGTTGTTTGTGTGTGTGTGTGTGTGTGTGAGATTAAATGAGATAATGCATGCTATAGACTGAACGTGTCCTCCTCAAATTCATATGTTGAAATCTAATCCCTAATGTGATGGTATTAGGAGGTGGGGCCTTTGGGAAGTGATTAAGTCATGAGGGTAGAGCCCTCATGAAGGGATTAGTGCCCTTATAAAAGGGACCCCAGAGCGCTCCCTTGCCCCTTCCACCATGTAAGGACACAGTGAGAAGATAGCCATCTATGAACCAGCAAGCAGGCTCTTGCCAGACACTGAATCTGGCGGCACCTTGATCATGGACTTTCCAGCCTCCAGAACTGTGAGAAATAAATTTCTGTTATTTATAAGCCACCCAGTCTATGATATTCTGTTATAGCAGCCCCAACGGACAAAGACAATGCAGATAAAGCATTTAAAACAGTGCCTGGTACATAATAAACACTTAATAAATGGCATCAATATATATCAGGCCTAGAAGCCTGTAAGCTAACCTTATGATCAGCCCACCAACCTTCTTTCTTTAGCTTGCCTCCTCCTCCAGGCGGCAGCACCTGAGATGCTCAGAACACAGTCAGACCTTCCACAATTTCATCCCCCAGTGCCTTCCTGTTCACTGAGGGCTTGGAGCCTACCTGTGTCTTTCATCTTGGCAGCCATCTCAATGACAGTGGTGACCTTCTCTTCCTCAGGGGCATGTATCACCATCACTGTGCTGCCAGCCACGCAGATCACACAGCCCAGCTTCCCCAGCAGATTCAGACTCTCTCCCAGGAAATATGAGGAAAGGATGGCACTGCACATGGAAACAGGAGAAAGGGATTAGGCAGCCATGCCTGTCTCAGCATCCTGAAGAAAAATGGGGGCTCACGGAGAACAACAGATCAGGACACACTACTCTCTTAGGAAAGCTTTTCTAGACCCCCAAAAAGGTCTAAAATAGAAAGGAGGCTGAGAGTGTCCCAAAACAGAAGTGTTGGAAGAGCCCTTCAAAGCACTCTTGTCTAACTTCCTACCCACTGAGCACGTCCTTTTTTTGAGGAAGATTGGCCCTGAGCTAACATCTGTTGCCAATCTTCCTCTTTTTTTTTTTTTTTCCTTTTTCTCCCCAAATCCCCCAGTACATAGTTGTATATCCTAGTTGTAGGTCCTTCTAGTTCTTCTATGTGGGACGCCATCTCAGCATGGCTTGAGGAGCAGTGAGTAGGTCTGTGCCCAGAATCCTAACCAGCAAACCCTGGGCCGCCAAAGCGGAACACGCAAACTTAACTGCTGCACCATGGGGCTGGCCCCAAGCACGTCTTCTTTTAACACTGCAAACAGATGGCTTTCAGTCTTGGCTTGTATACCTCTGGTGACAAGCGGCTCTCTCCTTCACAAGGCAAATGAATCCATTATAGGTTCATTCTAATTGTTGACCAAAAATATGGCAATTTCTACTCATTGTCTCATTTCTATTCCTTGAGCCATACAGAACAAATCTATTCCTTCTTCCATTTGTACAAGCCAATATAAACAACCACAATGACAATTATGGGCACTGTGTATTGGGCACGTCTTATGTTCTAGGTATTATGTTAGAAACTTTCCATTTATTATCTCACCTACATCTCACAACTCTTTGAGAAGTAAAGTACACTATCTCCATTTTTTAGTAGAACTCAGGAAAACTGAGTCTTACAGAAGTTAAAATGACTTGGCAAGGTCATGCGACTGCTAAGTAGCAAAGCCAGGATTTGAGCTCAAGTTCTGTCTAATTATAAAGCCTATGGTTGTTCCTCTACACGTCACTGAAGAGAATTCTTGTGACTTTCCTGAGTCTTCTCTTTTCTTGGCAAAATACCTCCGATTCCTCGCTATTCCTTGGTGATGGGATTTTCGTTCCCTTCATATCCTTTTGGTGAGCCAGAAGAGGTGAGGGGAGAGGGAGGGAAATTGGGCACAACAGGAATGATTGCAGGGGCATGCTTCTGTTTCTTTACAAAGGTGGCATGAGTTTAGGGGAAAAATCTGTTGGCTGACCTAGGACCCAATTAGCCTCAAAAGTCCTGGCTAAAGTATCAGGAGAGAGGGGGATTGATGTCCAAGCTCTTTTGAATGCCTCCCATCTCTCCTCTAAAACTACCAAAAACATTTCACCCAACATGCCCACTCAAGAGAGTCTGGTGGCATCACCACAGGCAGAGCTCACACTGGAGAATTCCCTGACTCTCCCAGCTTCCTGGGGGTGGGAATTTGTAAACTAATCAGACACGCAATAGTGGTATTGCAGCTGCATCAGCCAATTGTGCAATGTGAGTCATGGTTCTATCTGTTTCTTGACTGCGTAAATGTTGCAAACGTGATCAAGACGGTAAAACAAAACAGAGGAAATTATGAGTACTGGGTGTGGTTGGCTGGGATATACCAGGGCTCCAAGGTTAAACCAACAATCAGAGCCAGCTGCAAATGGGGATTCAGGCCCCTCAGAGAGGAACCGTGTTTGCAGTGCGGGAGGCATGGGGCAATGGGAAGCACACACATTTAGTATCAGTTATTTGTAAAACTATGAAACGTGTGCGAGGCAACATGACATCATGGTTAACACCTGGACTCTGAAATTAGACTGTCTGGGTGGGAGTCCTGGCCTAGACTCTTGGGACTGGGTGACCTTGGCCAAATTGCTTAACCTCTCTTGGCCTCAGGTCTCCTACTTTCTAATTAGTAGGGAAGCTATGAGGATTAAATGAGTTAATACATGGAAGACATTTAGAACAGTTAGCACACAGTAAGCCCTCAATGTATGTTAGCCGTGGTTATTCTTCAGTGCCGGTTCCGTACTATGCACTTTCTGTGCATTATCCCATTTAGTCCTTGAAGCAATGCCTTCAGGTAGGTATTATTAGCATCCCCATTTAGCAGATGGGGAAATTGAGGCTCAGAGTGGTTAAGTGACTTGCCCATGGTAATGTAACTACTAAGTGGTAGAGCTAAAGTTAGAACTCAGGGAATGTTAATCTAGGGAGCTTGCTTTTAACTCGGGTGCTTCTCCTAGTAGGGCACCAAAACACTGACCTGAGACATTCAGCCTGGCAGCAGTGGAAGCCCTTCCAGCTGGTTTGGGCTTGGCCTGCCCCTCCATCGCCAAGTCTGTCGAGGGCGCTAGAGCAACTGACAACAAACAATCCAAGGGTCCAGGGTGCTAACCTGCACACTGCCTCTTTCTAGGAGCTGAGACCAACCCAGGCTCCTGACTGCAAGTGGCAGTTGACTTCACTTGGGAGTTCCAGACCTCAACAAATTCAAAATAGGAAGGAGCCAGAGACAGCAAGAGAGGTGACAATAACCTTATGAGGACACTCAGCGCTCCCAGAGGAGTGACGACTGTAGCAGGAGCAAATGCGTAGGCCCCGAAGTTGGCAACTTCTCCAGCAGCCACTAGGAAATTAAGGGAGAAAAGAGGATAGTGTGGCTTCGATGCACCATCTCCAGCCCAAATGAACTGGGTAGGAACGGCGCATTCAATATTCAACCATTCATAGAATCCCAGACAGCGTTCCTTAAAATCCTGATCCTCATGCTCTCTCCCTGGAGAACCTGGTCACAAGGTCAGGCCCAGACTATCCTGATCAAATCTTTCCATTTTAAAGATGAGGAAGCAGGCCCAGAGCCCAAGGTCACATGACACGTTTGTAGGTGGATGCCTTCTTGTTCTTTAGGTCTCTCGGCTTCTATTCCAGGCACCATTAAGTGTATCTCAGGGCTGTCAATGTTTGGTCTGCATCTTTAAGGTAACTTCTAGAAAGTGTTAATTATAAAATAAAGAAACAATTACAGGGGCCGGCCCAGTGGCGTAGCGGTTAAGTGCACGCGCTCCGCTGCTGGTGGCCCGGGTTCGGATCCCGGGCGAACACCGATGCACTGCTTGTCAGGCCATGTTGTGGCGGCGTCCCATATAAAGTGGAGGAAGATGGGCACAGATAGCCCAGTGCCGATCTTCCTCAGCAAAAAGAGGAGGATTGGCATGGATGTGAGCTCAGGGCTAATCTTCCTCACAAAAAAAAAAAAGAAGAAGAAGAAGAAGAAGAAGAAAAAAAGAAATAATTACAGTTATTGATTCTTCAAGTACCAATTGGCCCATGGAGCCATTTTTCCCAGAGGACCTGTGGATAGTCTAGACTGACAGGCAGGTGGTTAGAAAGTCCGACTTTCCCAAATGGCCTAATTCTCCCCATTTGAGTTTTCAGTTTGCAGACACCTGCAAGTGCCTTGTCTGTCTTTCTGCTGGTAGAGAATGACCTGGGTCTGCCCTTTGAAAGCAGATGATGAAGATGATAGTTGTAGCTAAGACTGGGATTAAAACCTGACTTAGGGGATTATAAATGGAAAGCTGGCTAATTTTCCATCCAAAAGAATCAGAGTTTGAAAGCCAGAGAGAGTGGGTGGAAAGCTGGGGAAATGTGTGAATGTGCAAATTTGGGCAGACCTTAAGTGGCAGACCAGCCATGTTCTAAGTGAGCTAACAAACTGCCTGTAGAATGGGGAAATCGGCTTAGAAGTCTCAGCCAAGAAGTCCAAGAGACTCCAACAGGCAGTGATATCTCCCTATGCTTCAAGGGAAGTTGAGAAAAATGCCTTTACCATTTACCAGCTCTGTACAAATCTCTCTGGGGATAGACGCTTCATGGATGCAAGACTGACTTTGGGTTGAGAAAGTGATCTGAGAAATAGGTAAGATGTTCTACCCGCAAAGATTGTCAAGGTTTTCCCCTAGGAATCTGGGCCTTGGATTCATACTTTGCACAATAGAGACAGAAATGCCCCATCCACCCCTCCTTTCATCTCTGCCGTCAATAGGTCACTGTTACTAGGAGCAAAGAACCCACTTACTGGTGAGAAATCCAGCCCACCACATTGCATCCTTCAGGTAGCCATAGCCTCCGTCCACTGTAGATAGGAAGGGACACAAAGTTAGAGCTTGGCCACACTTTCTCAGGAACCTTCACTCCCCAACCTCTAAGGGTTCAATATATGTTAGCCATGGTTAGTCCTGGGAGCTCGCTTCTGGGCCCTCTCCTGGGTGAGTTCATCCATTCCCAAAGTTTTAAAGACCATCTATGTGCTGGTGTCTCTATTTCATATGTGTACTCGGATCATTTATTCCGAGCGTGGATGTATATCTAATTGCTTACTTGATAACTCTTGGATCTCTCACAGGCATCTCAAACTCTGCCTTAAAAGGAATTCTTGATTTTTATAGGGCTCCCCACCAACCCACCAAATGAAACTCAGAGAATGGCACCTCCCTGTATCTAGTTGCTGAAGCCAGAAACCAGGAATCACACTTGACACCTCCCACTCCTCCACTTTCTGCATCCAGTCCTTCCTGCTGATTCTGTCTCCAAAAAGCATCTCACACGTGTCCACTCCACTGCCACCACCCTACTCCAAGGCATATCACCTCTGGCCTGGGTTAAGGGAACAGCCTCCTATGGTTCCCCCAGTTCTACTCTCATCCCTTTATAATCCATTCCTTTCTGAGCAGCCAGTGGTCTTTTAAGAATGTAAATCAGATTATGTCACTCTTCAGTTTACAGCTGGCCAATGGCTTCCAAACACTCTTAGGATAAAGACCAGAATCCTTAACAAGCCCATTCATAGTTTTGACCCTGCTCACCTCTCCAAAGGCATCTCCTGCCACTCTTCTTACTACAGGCCAGCTGCTCAGACTTCCATTTAGTTCTTCAAAAATGATGAACTCTTTGCAGCCTTAAGGCCTTTGCACGTACTTCTCCGTGTCCGGAATAGAATAGCCTTCTTAACGAAATTTGCCTAAATCTACACCCACTCTATAGGTCTCTGCCTGAATGTTGCTTCTCCTAAGAAGCCCTCCCTGCCCCTCTGATCTCTATTATTTCCCTTTGGGATTCTCTTTCATCACACCCAGCTCTTCTCCTTCATGACACTTATCATTTATAATTTGAATTGATTTATTTATTTTCTGGCTTCTCCCTCTCTAAAATGGAAGCTCCATGAAGCAGGAACGTGTCTGCTTTGTTCATATGGTGGACTCAGAGCCTGGCACATAGTCAATACTCAATAATATTAGCTATGAGGATGAGGATGATGATGATGATAATGGACGGGTTTTAGACAGTCCCGTGAAAATCCAAAAATTGCATGTCACTTTTTGTGAATCCCCATTTTTCTAAGAAGGCCTTCAGCTTTCATCAGGTTCCTAAAGGGGTCAGAATCTCCCATAGAAGTTAAGAGCTCTGAGAGCATTTTTTTCTAGGGGTTGAAATCTCAGAAGATACTGAAACAGCAGATTGGGGGAAAACAATTGATTCCAGGGAAGTTGTCTTTCTGAATGGTCAATGATACTTCCCCTGCTCTCCCCTGAGGGCAAACAGCTATTTTTCTGGCACTTTGGGAGCCCTCTGGTCTTTCAAACACTTGTCCAGAAGTGAAGGATAGAGCAGCAATGACCACTGCTCCTGACTTCATCCCCGCACCTCACAGCTCTCCATGGCAGAGCGCACCTGGCTGTAGACCTGGGTTTCCAACTGTCCACCAGACCTCCCACTTAGATAACTGCAATACTAATACCAGTGCTTACTCAGTGCCAAGCATCTTTCTAAACACACTACAGAGCTTCACGACAGTCCTTGAGGCTGGAACTATTCTTATCCCCATTTTATAGATAAGGAAACTGAGGCACAGAAAAGATACTTTTCTTGCCCAGGATCACAAGACCAGGAATTGAAGCTGCAATTGGAACCCCAATAGCTGGTTTCCAAAGCTCAATGTCCCACAGAAGATTAAACTGAATATGTCCAATCTTGAACACAGCATCTTCCCATAAACCCGTTCCTCCTGCACTCTTTATCTCAGACAATAGCACCCTCAGCTCCCCAGTTGCTCAAGTCACAAAGCTGAGTCACCCTCGACTCTCTTTTTCTCCCTCCCCTTGGAGCCAGTCAACACCAAACCCAGTAAGTTCTACCTTCAAAAACTATCTCTGGACTCCACGACTTGTCTCCATTCCCACTGCTATTTGCAGTTCTGTCGTCTCTCTCCCCTAATTGGTCTCCCAGCCTCCAGTCTTCTTCCCTAATCCATTCTCCACCCAGCAACCAGGGATCTTCTCACATCATAAGTCAGACTGTGTCACTCCCCTGCCTAAAGCCTTCCAGTCACTGACGATTGCACTCAAACTCAGGAGCCCAGTTTACAGGACCCTTCATGATCTGGCCCACACCCCATCTCTTACCCGCCCATGTGCAAGCCATCCCCAACTACTTTCAGTTTCTAGTGCCGCTCACACTATCTCCCCTCTGAGCCTTTGCACATGCTGTTCTTTCTGCCTGGACCACCTCTTCCTCTCTTGCCCTTCACCTTGCTATCTCCCCATTATTTAGTTCTTGGTGTCTAGATCACCTCTTACAGAAAACCTCCCCTACCCCCTAAGCCTGGGCTTTACATGCCCCTCCAAAACACTGCCATAGCATTCTGTATTTTCCCCATGATACCACTTAACACACTATAGAACAATCGTCTATTGACTTGCCTATCTCTCCCACTCGACTCAATGCCCTACAAGGGCACTGTGTCCCCATGTCTGGCATGACTCCTGGCACACAGCAGGTACTCAATGAAGGATTAAATGAATGAATTCTTCTATACATGATTCCTCTTCTTAAGAATTGTTTCATGGGTACACATCTTATTTTCCAAACAAGCAAATCTCTGTGGACAGAGACTCAGCAATTCTTTTGTAGCCTATAAGGGAGCTCAATTTGATGGTACATGAGGGCACACTAGTGTCTGACTTTGTTCTGGGCAGAGGTATTTATATTCCCATTTTGCAGGGAAGTTGTGACTTGCCTACGACACAGCTGGTAAGAAATAAAACCAGGACCAGACTTGAGGTTTCTGATTCTTGGCCCTGAGACTTTCCCCTTTCTTCACCTCAATTAACTTATCCCGAAGTTTTCAGGAAACAGTGGATTATAAGGAAGGTCTCCTGCTCGTAGATTGGATTCCCAACAGGGTTGACAATGAGCCTTTTGTGCCCATTTAGACCAGGCTCTCAAACTGCGACAGTGGCCCCTGTAGGGAGGTTCACAGGGCTGGCTGAGGTCTCAGCTGCCCACCACCCCATCCCCACCTGCCCCCCAGCAGCTTACCAGCCCGTGTGGCCCCCGAGGCCACGAGTCGCAGGAGGCCCTTCTTCTTGAGGATGACGCTGCTGCCAATGAGAAAGCTGGACAGCAAGGCCAGACCCAGGCCGACATAGAAGCTGTAGTTCTGCCTGAGCCTCTCCCGCCAGCTGCTAGAGGTGACATTCCTGGGCATCTCAGGGCTGAGGTCACCGACAATCCGGCATAGGACTTGTTGAGAAGAGCAGTATAGGCTGATCAGGGAACCTAGATGGGAAGACCATGGTGAGAGAGTCATGCTGGGGACATTTGCGTGCTTTAAAAATTGGAATTGGCCACTGTTTCAGACCCCATTCCTCAGCTATTGCAGGGCTCCGTCCACATGCTGGGCCCCAACCTAAAAATAACAGTTAACATTCGCTGAGTGCTTACTCCAGGCTAGGGGTTTTATTTGCATGAACTCATCAAATTCTTACAACCACCTGTCAGATAAGTGCTGTCTTTAATTCCCATTTCATAGATATGGAAACGGAGGCCATGAGAGGTCAGGTGTCTTGCCTAAGAACACAGGCTGTCTGACTCCAGAATTCCAGCATGTAACCACTAAGCTATGCTGATGCCCCGCACACCAAGCAGGGTCCTCCAAGCCCTCAGGCATCATTGAATCCAACTTCCTGCCCTCCACAGGAATTCCTTCCTAACCTCTGGCATGCGGGCCTCCAACAGCTCAGTATCACACAAGGCTTCCCTCCTCCCAGAGGCCTCTTCACTTATGTATCCCTAACTCCAGCCACAGTGGAGACTCCTGACAGGTAACATGAGGGAGTGAAGGTAGAAAGTCCACAGACCATTCTAGGCCTGAAGATGAGTAAACAAGAGCGTCCTTTTTGTTAGAACTGACCATTCCCAGGTCTTACTTCTAAGACCTCTGGTGCTTGTGGTCTGCGGCTGGAGCCTCCTTGAGGCCTCAGAGGGATGGGTGTCCCTACCACCCCATGCAGAATCTGTCTTTAGTTTGCTTTCCAAGTCCAAGAGTCCCCAAGAGTCTGCATCAGGCCTCATGTCCCAGAGCCAGTCCACCCTTGCTTGCCCTTCTGGCTCAAACACCAAGGACAACAGGACAAACCTGGGCATGAGGGGCAGACCCTCAGTCAGAACAACTAAGCTTCCCAAGTTCAACGAAACACTACAAAGCACAGCCAATAATCCTCCAGTGCCGGTATTCACGTGGCCTTCTGCTCTGGGGCTTCCCACAAGCACCCCTATCATGGGAAGGGCACAACAATCAGGTCCAGGGTTTTAGCTGAAGAAACTGGGGCCATGATAAGTTTGGTAACCTGCCTAAGGTTACATTGGTGGTAAGTGGTGAAGCCAGGATTGTTCCCCAAGCCTATCTGACGCCAAAGCCCACGCTCTTAACCATCACACACACCCCACAAAGTAGGCAGCAAGTGGGGTGGGGTTTCATTTGGCTTCTTGAGGGTAATTTTAAAATATGAATTCATTACTAACATGTAGAAATCAGGATATTTCCCAGGAAAATTCAGCTTTTGAGCTGCCTTTGTTTATCTTGCTGGGCACACCTTTCCAGAGGCAACAATTGGCTGCAGCCGAGCAGCACTTGACCCCCTAGACAGGACACGATCTTTTCAGTTCCTTAGAGTCCGTACCAGCTCCTTTCAGTCATATTTGTTACGTGCTCAGCCCCTGTAGGCATTTGAGTTTGTGGCCTCTGGTGGTTGGAGGTGTTTTTCAAACTGTGTGTCACAAAGGCCCAGGCTCCTGTACCAAGGATGTAAGCCTGGGCCGGGCACTTCTCCTTGGACCAGTTAGAACTCCAGGCCAGTGCTAGAAAGCCCCAATGTCCAAGGTCAGGCAGCTCTGGCGTTGGCATATCTGGAGCACAGAGTGGCATCTTGGGGGAACAAAGTAAGGGCAATGTTGACCTTTCTTCTTTGGCACAGAAGCACAGAACAACAGAGCTGGAAGAGCCCTTAGAAGGCAGGCTGTCTAACTCTTACTTTCATCTGGAGAAACTGAGGCCCTGAGAAGGGGAAGGACTTGCTTGAGTCTCACAAAAACTGGTAAAGCTAGGTCTGGAACCTACCGGGGGACATCCATATGTCTTTTGCAGTGGGAGAGCTCTCTTTCCGATACCTGTGTCACAATCAAGCGAAGATGAGACAAGAAGCCATCTCGGTCCCTAACCAAACTTGTTCTGATGGCTCACTCCTGTTCCTCAGCTCGCCCAAGAGTCAAGTCCAGGGAGTTCCCTGAGCTCAGGAAATGAGCCAGAGCCTGGGAGGATGTGGGCCAAGGAAGGCAACTCCCAAGAGGAAAGCCAAGCCCATTCCCACGCCCTTCACCTGCCCTCCTGAAGGTGCATCTCCAGCAGGTGGAGCCAAAGGGTGGACTTGGCTGTTGTGGGGCCGCCTGAAGCACCCAAGGGGCGCAGCTCTCTCCATGGAGTTACATTCTCCCATGGGATAAAAAGAAAAAGAGAGGGCTGATGGCCAAGAGAAGTCCATTTCTGAGAAGGATGCTCATCTGACAAATGGGTGATGGGCCAGATGATTCCTGCCTCTCTTCCAGAATATGCTAGGACTGGAAAACATATTCTTCCCCAGGAGAAGGTGAGGCTGAAAATGGACTGCCTTGGTCAGGAAACCAAAGCCAGCCGACACCCAACAGGCCGGCTCTGAAAGCTTCCCTGAAGAGAAGTCAGAGAAACTGGGATGTGCTAGGTTGCAAATCCGAGAGGAGGTAGGAAAATGGAGCTATACCAAGAAAGGAGTTGAGCGTCCCAATATGAGCACAGGTTTTAAAATCCAAGAGCCCTAGTTTCATATTCCATTTCCCCACTATACTACCTTGAGCAATTATCAGACTTCTCAGAGCCTCAGTTTCTCCATCTCCAGAATGGAGACAGTAAGGAAATAATATCTACCTGCCTTCTAGAGTTGTGTTAAGGATTAATGAGATAATGCAGGTAAAGGGCCCACCTAGTCAACTATCTGGTTTATGGTAAGAACTCAACATAAAGCCAAGGGTCTTTCCATATCCTTTCTTGAGGTTCTTCTTTCTCTCCATTTTCTAAAAGGTGTGTGTGGGTTTGGAGGTGGTGAATCTCTGCACCCTTCTCCCCTGTCTTTGGTGTGCCCCAGGGAGACAGCCAGACCTAGGCAGGTACTAAAATCTGAAGCAACTACTTTGTATACGCTAAAAAAAACCTGGAAACCGGCCCCCCTCACCTCTCTGTCAACCTGGCCCCATCAATGGGGCCCGCCTCCACCTCCTCCCTCCCCGATACGTCCCCTTTTCTCCCATTCTCCCTCTCAGCTACCCAGCTCCGAAGATGGGTGAAGTCTGCCAGAATCCTGCTCCTTCCCTAGACGGGCCTGAGAACTGGGTGGGGGACAACTCGTGCTGACCCCCGTCTCCCCAGTTTTGGGGCCTCTGGCAGGAGAGGACGCGAAAGAAAAGAGCGGTGGGGAAGGGAAGGCGCGAGGCGCGGAGCACCCCCTGTCCCCGCCGGCCCGCACGCACGCACCGTTCTCGCAGCTGGCGTTGCTGGCCGGCAGCTCCATGGGGCCCTGGGCGCAGGGACCGACGCGCGGGAGGACGGCGCCCCCAGCTCCCCGGCTCCGGAGCAGGTGGCCGAGACTTGTCCCCGGCGTGGCCGGCGTGCGAGAAGCCGCCGGGGTCGGGACCCAGGGGTGGGAAGAATGACGTGCCCCAGAGGGGGAGGGTCCCCGGGGAGGAGTCACTCGGCGTCTTGGGCAACTCCATGGGCCAGGGGCCCCGCGATCGAGCTGCCTGCAGAGGGACGAACGCCCTCCCGGAGTGCGGAGGCTGCCCTGCTCCCCGCAAAGGAGTCACCGCCCCGCACCCCCGGCAGGATGCGACGGAGCGGGTCCCCAGGCGCCGCCCCTCCGCGACGCCGGGAGCGGCACCCAGTTCCATCCCCAGTGACAGTGGGGGTGGACTGATGGCCACCTTGATGGCCCCGGGATGGTGGGGGAGGGGGCAATTTTCTGGCCCAGATGGAAGTGGGAACGTGGAGGTTGGAAGGGGGCACTGCTTCCAGTTGGGGCCCTTTCTGGCCACAGTCTCCAGGACCCTGGGTTTTTTTCCTTCCTGCCTGCGGTCCTGTCTTCCTACCTCCCTGCCTTATTCATTCATTCGACATAGGTCCAATCTGTGCTGGGCACTAGTACACTACACAGCAGGCACATAGTCAGTGCCAATAAATGGTCGATACATGTATGTGGAATGAATAGGTGATAGAAGCTTGGTAAATTGAATGCGAGAAGGAAATGAAGTGATTGGAGACCAAAATGAGTCAGACAAATTCCCTGTCCCCCAAGAACCTTATATAGTAATGGGAGAAACAAAATGGGGTCAACTATCTAGAGACGGGTGTTTTCCAAATCACCATTAAAAAAAATAGTGATGATGGAAAGAATAGTTGTTACTGTGGGTAATAGCAAAAAGAAGTTAGAGAAACACTGACCTGGACCATAAAAACACTGTGCAGTGCTTGCAATAGGCCAGGCACAGTTGTTAGCGCTGAAAAATTCCGTTCATTTAATCCTCATGACAACCGCAAGCAGTGCATGCTTTTATGATCTACAGACAGAAAACTGAGGCACAGAGTGATCACATACCTTGCCCAGATCCCAGCCATCAAGTGGAAGAACCACGATCAAATGCATGCTCCCAGCGGTCACATGAAGCTGCCTGGGATTTTAGACTGAAATAACGCCTGCTCTGGAGTAGAGACCGCGTGGGACTGCCAGGAAAGCAGTGGTCTGTTCTGACAGTGTTGGTCACTGGCCTCCTGCAGAAGGCAGTTTTTAAAAACAGTTATGTGGGGCCGGCCTGGTGGCCTAGTGGTTTAAGTTCAATGTGCTCTGCTCGGGAAGCCCAGGGTTCGCAGGTTCGGATCCTAGGTGCAGATCTATACGCTGCTCATCAAGCCATGCTGTGGCCGTGTCCCACATATAAAGTAGAGGAAGATGGGCACGGGTGTTAGCTCAGGGTCAATCTTCCTCACCAAAAAGAAAAAGTTATGTATTGAGTCTTCACTATGGGACAGACACTGTACTAAAGCTTTTACAGGTGTTATCTCATTTAAGCCTCCTATGAGGCAGGTACCATTATTATCTCCATGGTACAGATGAGGAAAAACTGTATTTAAAAAGTTTTGATTATAGGGGCCGGCCTGGTGGCATAGCAGTTAAGTTCGTGTGCTCCACTTTGGCGGCCGGGGGTTCACAGGTTCAGAGCCCAGGCACAGATCTAAGTACTGCTTATCAAGCCGTGCTGTGGCAGGCGTCCCACATATAAAGTAGAGGAAGATGGGCACAGGTGTTAGCTCAGGGCCAATCTTCCTCAGCAAAAAGAGGAGGATTGGCAACAGATGTTAGCTCAGGGCTACTCTTCCTCACACACATGAAAGTTTTGATTGTGAAATAACTTTAGATTTCCAGAAGAGTTGCAAAAATAGTACAGAGACTTCCCATATATCTGTCACCAGCTTCTCTTAATGTTAACATTTTGTATAGGAATAGAAAAAAACATACTGTAAATACTCTGAGAAACCTGCCCCCGGGGTCCCACAGCTCATAAGTGAGAGAACTGGAGTAAACAGAGCTGCTCTGCCCCCAAGCCTGTCCTCCCAGCCACCACCCTCCACCCTCTACTCGTGGCCTTCTAGCTGGGTTCTCTCAGCGTGTGGCTTCCCCTAACTTGCTGGGTGACTTTAAACAAGTCACTTACTCTCCACAAGGATCAGTTTCCTCAGCTGTCAAATAAGACAGCCCTTCCTGCTCCTTTCTGTGTGTGTGTGTGTGTGTGTGTGTGTGAGAGAGAGAGAGAGAGAACCACCACAGGGTTGGGGGCAGGTGGGTAGGACAGAGATTAGAAGGGAAAAGGAAGTCACAGGTGTTGCCAACTGGACACATCCAAGTTCACGGGTCTTTAAGTGCACCCAGGCCTGCCCCTGACTTTGGAGGGATGTGGTACCACAGTTCAGATGGAGGTGAGTACCTCCAAGACCAGCATGAATTAGAACACAGAGAAGCCAGAAACGGATGATTAGCCCCACTAGGAAATGATACTTCATTATAGAAAAATTACCTGCATCCATGCTACCTGAGAGGGAGGATTAGACAAGAGAATTTAATTTGTCTTTTCTCTTACCTAAGCATTTCTGCTGCTCAGATCCAACTTGTGCTACAAAATAGCGTCTATCTCTGAGGCTGGCCAAGGTACAACCCTCAATCTCTCACTGCATTCAAACTCAATCGCTTTTGTTCCAAGGACGTAGGACAAGAGATGTGGAGTGTTTCCTTCTGGCCTGTGCTTTTTAAATCACAAGAGAGGATGTTTCGGTTATGGTTGCATTGGACCAGAACTGAGCACAGATCTAGAGAGACAGATGTGCACATGTGTTCTTTAATACATTTATTTTTGTATGCATTTATGATTTGTGGGGGCTGCTAAATTGCAGAGTATGGGACAGGGGCCTCTTGCCCTGAGTTAAAGGCAATACTGAGTTCACCCTGTGCTTCGAGACTGGGCTTTTCAGAGGGAGGTGAGTTTCACGTTTTAGGGCAGTGGGCTGAGGTGGAGGGAGCTGGGATCTACTGGAGGGCCTTCCACACCCTCTCTGGGCCTCAGGCTCCCCATTTCTTCTAGGAGGGGCAGGGCCTCACCAGGACTGGCATGAGCATCACCAAGCAGCATCCCGGGAGCACAGACATAAAGGGCCCCATTGAACGTCAGGCTCCTCGGCTGCTCTCCTGACAAAGCCCTTTTCTCCCTGAGCCACAATAGCCCTGTCAGGCAGGTAGCAGAGCCTGCAGCATTGTCTCCCCAGAAAAGAACAACGGGGTTCACTGTCTGTCCCAGGCTCAGTCTCCCAGGGAGGGCGGGTGGCTTTGGAAGAGTCTGACCAGCCAGGGACAGATGGGCTCTGTCCTTAGCCAGCCAGGCGCTGGTGAACCAGCCACATTTCGTTCGGCCAGTTATTCAGGGATGAGCAGGAAACAAATTTATCAAAACCCAAATTCCTAAAAACATGGCTTTTCTAAGTGCATGTCTAAATGTTTTATGTTTTAGAGGTGTAATGTCCAATATGGTAGCCACCAGCCCCATGTGGTTATTGAGAACTTGGAAAATGGCTAATCTAAACTGTGCTATACGTGTTAACAGGCACTGTTAACGTTTTGGACCAGATAATCCTTTCTTGTGGCTGGCTGTCCTGTGCACTGTAGGGTGTTTAGTGGCATCCCTGGTCTCTGCCCTCTGTATGCCAGTAGCACACAGACATGTGTGCTATCCCACCCCCCTCCTCCCTGGTTGTGACCACCAAAAACATGCCAGAATCACTCCAGATTGAATATAAAAAGAAAAGTGTAAAATATCTCACTGATAATTGTTTTAATATTGATTACATGTTGAAATTACAATATCTTAATATATTGAGTTAAATAAAATAGATTGTTAAAATTAATCTTCTGTATTTCTTTTTACTTTTTATAAAGTGGCTACTAAACAATTTAAAATTACATGTGTGGCTCTCATATGTTATATTTCTATTGGACAGTGTTGTTATAGAAGAAGAAACTGAGGGCCAGGGAGGGAAAATGACCAGCGGAAGGTCCCAGAGCAACAGAGAGGCAGTCAGGGCTCCAATCAGGTTTCCAGACAGGCACTCCAGACCAACTCTACTACTCTGCACAGCTTCACAGCTGAAAGAAATCCAAAAATCAATGCACTGGGTGTTACCAGTGTGGTTCAGCCAAAAAGCAATGGAGGAGGAATAGAGGGTAGAGACTGAGTAATATTCATGCTATTTATAGAGGCCTTGCTATGTATTACATGCATGCTCATGTAAACTTTGCAACGATCCTGGGAAGTAGGTTTTATTATCATCCCCATTTTCCAGATGACAAAACTGAAGTTCAGTGAGGACACTCAATCTGTAAGTTGAGAAACCAAGAATCAAACAGATACTCCTTTCAATGCTACACAGACTACTTGTAGTCCCAGGTTTAGTACCATGTCACGAGACTCCGTTGGGTCATTTCTCCTCCTGGCATCCTACCCTGGGTAAAAGGGCTGGGCAAGATGTAGCTTGCAGTTCTTTCCAGCCCTGCAGAGCTGGTCTTCTGTGCAGGGTGGGGAAGGACAGATGGCTGTCACCTCCATCAGGCTGACCTGGAATCATGGGAATCTGGACAGTCAATGTGCAGAGGCCAGCCCATCCTTCTTTTCCAGGTGGGTCCCCAGATGGCCACTGTCCTCATAAAGAGCTTTATCGTCATCAAATAATGCTTGGAATGGACACAGGTGCACTCAGACTGACTCTTAAGAAGAGCACCATGCCCAGCAATGGGGTCCACATGCAACTGGCATCAATAATGATTATTTAATCAACACACTATTACTGAGTTCTTTCTCTGTGTGCTAAGCACTTTGCAGGCATCGGTTCACATGGTCATTACAATCCTTGACTCTGGGTACCATTTTAAGTCCCATTTTACTAATGAAGAAACTGAGGCTCAGAGAGGTGAAGTGACTTTCTCAAGGTGACACACAGTGGTAGAGGCAGAATTTCAAGCTGGCCTGTGCATCCCCAGAGCAGCTCTGTTAATCAAGGTACTGGTTTGAAGAGGCCAGAGCCTTCTTCCTGGACCTCTTCCTGGTCCTCCTCTGTATGGGGCAGCTGAGAAGACTGGGGATATCCAGAAACCACACAGGGTGGCCATACAGCCTTCTCATCAGCCCTCCTTCAGAGTTAGAGCTGGAAGG